TATTACTAAAAAAATTAAAGATATCCATAATTACCTGCAAAAAGATCTTCTCTGTCATCATCTAGCACCACCTCTGCAGGTTTTGGACCATTTGAGTTTGGACTCACATCTTCTGTAGGAAGACTAGCTGGTTCTGGAGATGATGGACTTGACTGTTAAAAAAACAACAGATGATGGATTAGCAGGTTTAACTGTTATAATTACATCTCTCTACATTATAGAAATAGAACATTCTCTTGATAAAAAGGGAAGAAAGAACAAGAACAGCTATTCATAGTACCTCCTCTAAGGGTAAGAATAAACCCAAACCACATTTTTATTCATTTTCCTTCTTAACAAAAAGTCACTTAAGAGTAAAAAAATCTTTTCTAGTCAACCCTTTAGAGATACTAATTTGTCATGTTGAGTTATAATTAACAAAAATGTAATGTTTTACAGCCATATATAACACTGATTATTTTACAATAGTAAAAAAATCAGATCTTGAAAACATGTTGCATGTATAGTAAGTTCAAAGTATTCCTTTACTGTTAACAGAAAAGTTTAACAGTAGCTGAATTAAGTCTACAATTATAAAATTTTCATGGTTAAAACTAAAAATATGCCCTTTTCCCAAACACTTATGTTTCAACTGAATTTAGGGACTGTTTCTGTACTTCTTAACCCTAAAGTATAATGAGTAACATAAGAGAATCTAGCTTTATTATAGTTTTCTTTTAGCTTTATTATAGTTTTCTTATAATAGTTAAAAACCAATATTTAAAAAAAATCACATAAAAATGACAGTGTGTATGTCAAAAGTGTACAGCTAGATATTTTCACAAACCAAACACGCCTGTGTAACCAGCACCCAGATCCAGAAAGAGTATTATCATCAACCCCAGAAGCTCTACTCCCATTCTTATCCTCTCCCTACCGAAGCTTCTATCAGCATGCATTAGTGTTCCCCGTTTTTGTTCTTCATAAAAGTGGAATCATGCAGTATTTCTCTTTCTGTACTGGCTTATTTCACTTAGCATAAGATTTCCCTGATACATCATAAAACATGGATGAACTCTGAAAATAATATGCTAAGTGAAAGAAGTTTGTCACAAAGGCCCATTCATTGTCTAATTCCCTTTGTATGAAATGTCCAGAATAGACACATCTACAGAGCGAGAAAGTAAATGAGTGATTGCATGGGGTTAGGGGCTTGGGGAAATTAGAGGATGATGGCTACACAGTAATAAAAATATTCTAAAACTGTGGTGGTGTGTACACAACTCTGAATATACTAAAAGCCTTATATACTACATTGAATTACATACACTTTATAATTTTTTTAAGTAAGCTCTACACCCAGCATGGGGCTTGAACTCACAACCCTGAGATCAAGAGTTGCATGCTCTACCAACTAAGCCAACCAGATGCCCCGAATTATATACACTTAATAAATTATATGGCATGTGGATTATATCTCAACAAAGGCATTAAAAATAGGATTATGTAAAGCCATGTAATTCTTTTTCAGGCTGGTACATCTGGTAAATAAACATATCACCCAATAATGTTTTGTTTAACACAGTTCTTCTGAAATACAACTTTGAAAAAGAAAACTTAAACACCTAAAATTATCTACCCTGAATGGACCAATTGAAGTGGGATGTTAATGATTAAACATATTTGTTTCCCTGAAAATATCTTATCACTATGCAGTTCTTTGCATTTTTCCCTTTAAGGATCTTGTGCTCATGCTACTTCCTACAAGTAACCAATACAGGCCAAAGCAGCAAATAAAAAACACTCTAATCCGTTAACTGTTAAAACTTTTCAACTTTGTTGTTGTTCTTTATCTAAAAGCTTAGTGAAATGGTGTTTTTAAGATAACTAATCTTATAAAGGGGTAGCAATTTTGGGCTAATGAAAAGGCTCCTCTTCCTTCAGGGGTAGTTACAACTTTTCAGCAACCAAGTCAAGTTACCATTCCTTTTCTGCTATCCCTCTTTAAGTGTTCGTCACTTGAAAACCACTGCCTACATAATCAAAAAGGCCTCCCGTATTTCAACAGTTTCTTAAGACAACCTATTCATTTTTATTTAAAAAAAAAATTGATGGCCAGGATGAAAAAATGACTGCTTCTCTATTTGGTTGGCTGCCAGGAAGTTCACAGATCAATTTTTTATCCATCTTTAGTAACTGTTCAGACTTTATGCATACATTTTGAAGAAACTGTTTAACTTGACTTCATCTTACTATTTGACTGTTTATTTTTCTTGCTAATTTCTTTATTTTGATCTTTTAAAAAAAACTGCATTATATGTAGTTGTCTCAAGTCCTTTTTAGAATAAAGTGGTATATAAATAAATAATTTTAAAACAACTCAATCCACCTTAAATCACATTAGACAAGTCTACAATAACATAGCATTAGATTATTTTTAAAATTGGAAAGTTTTTTATTTTGGATAAAAAATAAAAGCAAACCATAACCATAATTTAAAAATACCAAAATTAGAGGCAGACTAGAATAGTGATTAAAAATATAAGTTCTAGAGTAAGATGGCCTGTATTCAAAGCTCAGCTCTGCCTCTTAGTAGCTGAATGGCACGGGACACGTCACATAACCCTGATGAACCTTAGCTTCCTTACACCTATTAAATAAGGACAACAGTAAGTTAACTTCATAAAGTTGCTATGAGGATTAAATGAGAGAAAGCACATTATTTAGTACAGCGCCATAGTAGAGTAAGCTCTCAATAAATGTTAATTAGTCCTATAATTTAACTGATAGCCTTACAATGTAAGAGGCTATCTTAGCCATGTATATGGATAATTCAAACAAAACTGTGTGACTGGCCCCTAATAACCCTTTGAAGGCTGTCAGACTCAGTTTCAGAAAAGGATGCTCTTAGGATTTAGTTTCTCACTTCTACTTTAAATTTACACATGCTATTTGTTATACTGTAATAATATGTGGAAGGTTGACTAAGGCAAAATATTAGCCTGAAACATAATAAATGTGGGCATTAAAATTTACTTTTTTCAATTTTCTTTTGGGGGGGGCGCTCACTGTTTAAGGACTAGATTAGCATGTTAGCCACCAAAATGAGAAAAATAATTTTTTCCCTCTCATATATAAAAATAGTTGCACAACTGAAGTCAAAGGAAGAAAGATAATAATAAATAATTTGTGATACATAAAACTTAAGTTCCCTACACAGAAGGACGCCAAAAGATACCACTGCAAAAGTTCAGAGGTAAAAGAAGTAAGATTAACTAGGTTAGCAGTTCTCAAAGTATGGTCAGAATAACGGAAAGATTTCTGAGACCCTTTTTTGTATGGGTGTGGGGAAGTGTGCACCAAAGGCTATTTTCCTAATATTAAACTACTGTCTTTTTTACTCTCACTCTTTCATGAGAGCTCAGTGGAGTTTTACAAAGGTTGTAAGGTGTGTTATATCACAACAGAATGTAGAAACATACATGAGGACGTAACTATTTTCTACTAAGCTGGAAATTAGAGATTTGGGAAACTGTAAAAACACAAAATAAAGCAAGCCACTCTTATCACTAAACTTATTTTTGTCTTACAAATATTGAGTTTATTACTATTTCACATTTTTTTAAAGTTTTTTAAAAATTTCATGAATATAAGGAAACTCTACCACCAATGTGGGGCTTGAGCTCACAACCGAGATCAAGAGTCACATGCTCCACCAACCGAGCCAGCCAGGTGCCCCTAAAAAGTTTTTTATAATTAAAAAAAATCACAGAGAATACAACAAATGCATTTAAATATATCAGGTTTCAAAATCATTAAAGATACCAATAAGTGCCTTACAAACAAAATGTTTAAAAAAACTCCACAATTTAAAGATCAGACTCATTTTTTTATTTTCTGAATAATCTTATAAAGTATGGTAAATAAAAACTCATAACTGAAAACACTGGGAAAAACTACAAAATTTTAAGAGATGACAGTTAATGGGACAATGGGAGAGCTTACTGTACTTCAACAACAAAGAGAATGCTCTTTTGTAATTTTCTGCATATTCTTTTTTAAAAATTGAAAAGATTTATTTATTTTTAGAGAGAAAGAGCGCATGCACACATGCACCCAGAAGCTGGGGGAGGGGTAGGAGAGGGAGAGAGAATCTCAAGCAGACTTCCCAATAAGAACGCAGCCTGACTAGGGGCTCCATTTCATGACCTTGAGATCATGACCTGAGTTGAAATCAAGAATCGGAGCTCAACTGACTGAGCCTCTCAGGTGTCCCCCCCCTCACTTTTAAAGTAAGCTCTACACCCAGTGTGGGTCTTGAACTCACGACCCTGAGATCAAGAATTGCATGCTCTGCCAACTGACCCAACGAGGTGTTCCCTTCTGCATATTCTTAACTAAGCCTTTATTACTTGTACAAGTAGAATTTTTTTTTGAGATTTTATTTTTAAGCAATCTTTATACCCAATGTGGGGCTCCAACTTACAACCCCAAGATCAAGAGTTACATGCTCAAACTGACTGAACCAGCCAGGCACCCACAGGTAGAAATGTTTTTTAAACATTAAACTGAACCACGAAATACACTAACATGATAGGTCTTAGAAGATCCAGACTGGATGGAATCTCCTTTTTGGACAATGAATAGCTGAAAGCCAAATACCTCCATCCCTTAGAAAAATGTTAATATGCTACTAATATTAAGTATCTTTTGAGTGTTACTCAGTAATATGACCCTAAAATGTTAGGGTTTTCAATTGCTTTCAACTTGGCAAATTCTAACCCAATATTTAACATCATTAGATTATATATCAATGATCCTATATAAATCAAAATCCTAAGATGTTAGAAAATAAGACTATTAGCTTATAGTTGATGAATGATTATCATAAATGGAATATTTATTCAATTCAGTATCGCTAGACATTGAGTTATCACGATAATGAATGATCACAATATCCTAATCTGATAGTTACAACTGAACCAGTAACAGTCACAGTTTATTTAGTTTTTCATACTTACCTACTATACTCTTTTCTGGAGCTGGTGGTACAATATAACCAACATGTAAATACTTGCTTGCTAACTTGCTATGCAAACCGAGAAAGTCACTGAATCTTCTTTTCACTGAAAATTCACTCTTACTGAACATGGACAGAGAAGTCTACAAGTGAAGAAGAGGTATTTCAAATTCTGATACTAAGCAGTTTTTTAGAAGTTAGTATCACATATAACCGTGAACATACACACACACACACACACACACACACACACTCTGGTTTACTTTGCAAAAGAATGCACAGTAGCTAACTAATGTGTTGATAAATTTCTAACCGAAAAAAAAACCTACATTACCCATTTTTTTTTTCTTACAGAAAATTAAAAAGAAAAAATGTTTGCTTGATTCTATCCTTGACTCATCTCATCAACTCTAATTACATTTATGTTAATGACTCTTAAATCTTTCCCTCTGGCCCAGATCTCTGAGCTTCAGTCCAAGATATCAAAATGCCCAAGGGATACTTGCACTTAAATCTTGCTGCCACCTCAAATTCACCACATCTCTTGCTGGAACATAACCTCCAAGTGGGAAGGGTACCTGTTTGTATTGTTTACTACTAAACCTTCATGCTTGGAATAGAGCTGGACCCCATGGTAAGTGTTTAATAAATATTTCTTCAATGAATTAATAAATCTCACACCCATCCAAACTGTGCCGCTTTTTCTCTGCGATCCCTGACAACCACGGAGATCCTCTAGTCAGTGACTCAGGCATCTCTCCTTCACTCCTTACATCCAAGCCCTAATGATTCTACCTCCGCCTACACAACTCAAGAAGCCATTACTCTAGATTCAGAATCAAGTCCTTAGTATAAAATATTACTTCTCACAGCTAAGACTGCTGTAGATCTCTCTCTTGTTTTAAGATCTAAGGCCTACAATCCTTTAGGAACTGCAAAGGAATTCACTGGAAATCCTGACCTCTACTTTTTGCTCCCAACTTAGTAGTCGGCGAGATCTTTCTAAAACAAAAATCCAATTGTGCCACATGCTTGCTGGAATCTCTTCAAATACTCTCCATTATACTAAGGATAAAGCCCAAATTCCTTAATGTGGCTGTTTATAATATAGGTAGGCTACCACCAAACAATTTTCAGTAGGCACCGCTTCCTGCAGATCCTAGAAAGCACAACGTTTTCTTGACACCTCACTTTTGTAAAAGCAAACCCCTTTGCCTGGAACGAGCATTCTCCTTTCTCCGTGTCCTGTTCCCCATCACTTTCCCCTACCTTTGTCTATATTAAGTCCCTTCCTGCATACCGTCATATAATACTTTACCTCTACTTTAGAGATTATTACACTTAACAAACTGCTCGTTAACTCACTGTAACTACTTATTTAAAATCTCAATGGATGGTAACCTTTGTAAAGACAGGAAATCCTTATACCTTAATCGCTGTTGTAAGCTCATACTACATATAGGGCTCACTATTTTTTTAAAGGAGCAAAGACTCACCTTTGTTGTTACTCTATAAGCCATGTAAGCATTCATGCCATCACCTATAAGAAAAGTCAAGCAATACTATTAAAAACAATAAGCTTAACCACCCACACAAAAAGGTATCTAATGTGAAGTAATATGCTGACCGACTTGTGATTATCGATTCATAACGTGTACATATATTAAATCATCACAATGCACATCTTAAATATATAAAATTATTTGTTAATTATAAACTCAATAAAGCTGAAAAAAAAAAAATAAAATGAGAAATGAAAAAGCCCCACAAGCTTAAAAATAAAAGTATTTTAATACTTAACACTGCACTTAATAAAGAAAAACAACATATTAACAACCAAGGTACTTATCAAAAAGAAGCAAATTTAAAGTATAGTAAATATTGACCCACCAACTTTCTCTGGATCTGATACACCAATTTCTATATCAAAAACATCTCCATTTGCTTCTTCTTCAATCTAGAAAAGGTAATTTTTTTGATGTTAAAGATTCCACTTTATATTACTGTTATAACACTAATAACTTCAATTTTTACCATCTATCTTTTATTAGGGTCACTGTCATAACAATTTAAAAAGCCACTCAGCACTCTGTTTCTGAAAAACAATAAAGCTTTCACATTTCCTTGACAATATTTAAACAAAAACAAAACACACATATACACATATACAAAAGGATCATCTGGAGAAGTTACAAAAAGTCTTGTTTTCTCACAACTCCTCAGATTTAGTCTTCTATAGGAATACTGAAGAATTTTTTTGTTGCTGTTCTCTAAACTGAGTCTTCAGATTCAGATCATTAAACTAACACCTTAATTATTTTTAATATTAGCACTTTTCAAAGTTGTTATCTCTACTCTTTAATGATCAGGAGGTAGCTATTACTTTTGCCGGTAGAACCCTACATATCTGTAGAAATAACTACACTTAGAATCTTTAGCATCATGATTTCTCTAATAACCCAGTAAACACATGCTCTTCTTGAAGCCAATGAAAGCATTATAAAGTTCACTGAAAAAAGCAGTAAGGAGGAAAAACGATAACCTCGTGAGACTGAAGAGAAGCACTTTTTAATGCCATTATAAATAAGCAATCCTAGGGGCAGCTCTGTAGGGAAGTCTTATTATTCTCAAGAAGAGAGCATGGAAATTGTTAAATACTAAAACTATTCTGGAGTAATATTAATAGCCTAAGGCTATCTAAAAGAAAATGAGTTTTTCTAACCATAATCTTTTTGTACATAATCTTTTTCTTGTACAGATTTTTAAGTAACTAAACCTTATTTGAACTGTAACATAAACTATATAAATCCTAAGTATACAGCTCAGTAACTTTCACAAACACCATTATTCACAGAAAGGCCCTCTTGTGCTTCCTCTCCACGCCCAACCCATCCTGTACCTTGCCAACATAACCACTAACATTTACTGCATGATTCAACAAATAAAATTAATGTCACTTTATTAAAGTTTTTAAGGCACTTTCATACATTTTCTCATCTGACTAACACAGAAACTCTGAGAGTCATAAATAAGCATCATGAGATCACAAATGATAAAATCCTTAAGAAGGAAAGTAATGTGCCCAAGTCACTGGGTTAAAATGTGATAAAGATAAAATTAGAAGCCAAATCAGCTGAATTCCTTAGTCCAATACCTTTTCCCCAAAGTGTCTAAAGGCTTTGATTAGAGATGACTAATAGGAGAGTGATGCTGGGTGGGGGAACAAAAGCTTACTAATTACATATTAATTTAGAATACAAACATTTTCCCATACCTCCTCCCTGGATCTATCGAAGATCACAGGAGCAGACATACTCTTTGATTCAATTCTGGGAGCAATGAGTGTAGTAGGGGTCACAGGTGTGACTGCAGGAGAAGGTTCTGAAGACAGGATAGGTTCCCTTTCTGGACTATCCAGAGAAACTTCTTCTGTGGCTTCTAGATACAAATTAAACAAGTTAGTTTAGGACACTGATAACAAACCCCAATAGTCTATTTGCAGTTAATGAGTTATGAAAAATATTTTTAGACTACCCACAAAAAATATCACAATAAAGTTATTTAAAAATACTTGTTATAAATAGTTTAATGAATTCTTCCTTAGTTGTTCATCAATACTTTAAAACCAACAGTGACTTTGTTGATTTTAGGAAGAATTACAGTAAGTCAGCTTAATTATCTATACTAGTGGTAGGGATAAAGCTAGTAGGAAAGCAATGATGTGGATAATTCCACATTCATTTGTGCTGGGTTTGTAATGTATCTTATGCTTGGGGTAACTTACCTTTCAAAATTGTTTATTCAGGCTAACATGATTATTTTATACATACAAACACAAATTTTATGGCAATAGGCTGCCCAGAACAATCCCAGCTGGGATTAAAAATCTGTTATGGAAAATCCACAAAGCTAGCCATCTAAAGCAATTAACTGCTAAAGATTACTGAATATTAGTTGAAGACATGAATATGACACAAAGCAAACAGCTGTTTAAGTTTTAATTTAAAATGCTCATCCACTTGAAAGATCTAAAATTAAACATATTCAAAACCAAATCAAATCAATAAACTGTCTACAAGCTATGTAACATTGTGCTAGATGCAATGGAGAAACACAAAGAAATGTAAAATATCATACCTGCCCTCAGGGAGTTTATAATCTAGTTGGGAAAATAAGACACAAGTATGTGGAATGTTAAATAATAATAAAAGACAAATAATAGCCAAGAGAACAATAAAAAGAATGTTACAAGATATTTAATTGCTATATGAACTACAGAACAAACACTACAATTTGAGATGGGAGACAATACTTTAGGCTGGGGAAATCAGCAATAGTTAATGAAACTGATCTGAGAGGATCTGAATGGGTAGACAAAAAATGGGGAAGGAATTCTAGGAAAATGAAACAACAGCACAAATAAAAAGCAAAACCAGAAAAATGAAAATTACATTCAGTGGCCATGAAGAAAACCACAGTTCTGTGGGATTATAGAACTGATAACAAGAAAAGAAAGGCAGGGCTGTAAGGGAAACAGAATCAGACCAGTGGTTTCTAACCTGAGGTTCTTAGATTCCCAGAGGTTTGGGAAGGTAGTAACGGCAGTCAGTGATCCATTTTAATACCTCAAAAAGTATAGCAGTAACAACATATTTACCTGAAATAAGGTAAATAGTGTTAACATTTACATTTAAATGTAAACAGGTCAACCTTTTATCAATCTACTCTTACTGGTTTTCTCATGTTAACGAGATCCTTACTTGACATAGCTCTCTATATTTTTATAGTAAACCAGAAATCTTTCCAAATGTGGTAACCAGAAGGAAAATAGATGATAGATAAAATAGACAATTAGACAATAAATGACCCTAATGTAAAAAACTAAAAGCCTTCAGGCAGTTAAGACGGCTAGTATTTATTCATTTTTTAAAGAAATGAAACCAATGAGCAACGTAAGAAAGTAAGAAAGCAGTGTATCAAAGCTAGGAGGTGTGAGATCTATTATCTACAAACAAGCAAAACAATAAGCAGCAAACAAAAATAAATCTAAAATTCTCTAAAAGAGGTACTGCTATTGGCAACAGACCCAGAGTCAAAGGGAAAGGCATATTAACTTTGCTGATGTATCAGGACAGATAAAGTAACTTTAAGTTTTCAATCACATTTTACTTCACTGATAACAGATTTTGCATTCTTTGCAAGGACTCTGATAGGCTGTTTCAGAAATAGTAAGAAACCTCAAAATAAGAAAAGCTAAATATGAACTAAGTAGCTAACCTAGAGGAGGAAAATGAAAATGGATATTTAGATTTAGCATACTAATATAGAGTCTGCAGCTTAAAGTCTTCTCATAACTTTTAGCTAAGTAAACTAACATACTACAAATTCACAAATCTTAATTTAAACCAGACCTGAAGGTTCCAGGAGATGCCCCACAGGTTTTAAGTATAAAGATGAACTTTTCCTGGGAAGAGATACTTTGAGGACAAGTATAAACTGATGATGTCAATGCCAGGGAAGAAATATTTCACTCATAACCTAGATACCAAAGAATTTTTTTAAACAAAGGAATACTCATTAAACTTACAATTTGTATCATTTGCTGAAGTATGTAAGTGAAGTAAGCTAAGGACTCTGGCAGAAACAAGACTTAAAAGTCCAGGACCATTTCAACATTGGCAATTTGCTCACCCTCACTTACTCCTCTATGATCCTTTCTTGATGTTCAGTAAAGCTTAGTGTGAAGGATGTAACAAATAGTGGAGGGGCTGTGTAGTCAAGCCTATTTGGTGAAGGCTCTCCAAGTAAACGAGTAACAGTAACATGTCACACTCAAATTTTCTGGTACCATGCCTAACAAAAAAGTACCTGAAATGCTACCCAAAAGGTACCAATACTATCTAATCTTTTCATGGTTTTAAAATCAAAATGGCTAGATCCTTAGAGCAATATTGATATTCTCTCCTCTAATATAGGGGAAATAAATTAAGCACATGTTATTATTACCTGACAGTAGTCTTCACCATCCTGATAACATATGCTACTCTTTATTATGATTTCTAAGAATCATACTCCTCCATGGAGGAATGACATACATGCTTAAAGGCATTAAAGTAAGAGGCAAGGATAGTATTAATCCATTCACATAAAAATGACCAGATTAGGTCTTAGAACACCTAATGATGTCATTTTGAAATACACCTGAGTTTATTTATTTATTTTTTTAAAAGATTTTGTTTATTGGACAGAAACATAGTGAGAGAGGGAACACAAGCAGGGGGAGTGGGAGAGGGAGAAGCAGGCTTCCCGCGGAGCAGGGAGCCCGATGCGGGGCTCGATCCCAGGACCCTGG